GTAATATAAAGTCAAAAGTTAAGATACAACAACAACAAACTCAACTTAATCCCATACGTGGGATTTAGGGAGGGTGGTGTATAACGCAGCCTTCCCCTTATCCTATAAAGGCAAAGGAGCTTTTCCGATAAAGTCGAAAGTTAAGATAATTGTAAGAAAAATGACTATCGCTTGTATGTGATTTCTCAAGAAAATGAAGTTATCATGTAAAACTTTTTTTTTTTTTTTTTGGGAAAATGACTTAGAGCTAATATTATTGTGTTGATATATATAATTGCAGTGGATTTTCTGGGTTGGACCATTTGTGGGAGCATTGGTAGCAGCAGTATATCATCAGTATATCTTGAGAGGTTCAGCAATTAAGGCATTGGGTTCTTTCCGCAGCAACCCCACCAATTAAAACAACATTTGCAATCACAACCAGAAAAAAAGAAAAGAAAAGAACAAGAAAAAGAATTGCATTCATCTGTCCAAATTATCTTTGTTTATTTATTTGATTCTATGTGTGTAAGAGGAAACTATGGAACTCTCCCTTTTACTTTTTATGTATTGCTTTTAATAGTTTAATCCTTAATGTTAACCTTGGATGTATATTTATTTGTATGAGTAGTGTTGGTAATGTTTTTGCTTTTAATTAATTCTTTTCTGAATTTTGGACTTGGATCCTCCCTCCTTTTCTCTCTCCCTCTCTTTTTTCTTTACAATTTTTACATTATAAGCTTTGAATAGAATCCCCGATAGACAACGGCATTATCTTTACATTATAAGTAATGACCAGCACGAATGGTGTTATGCCTGTTCCTCTGTCTCCGTCATGGACCTGGTGATATTGAATTTTTTGTATAGATGTGAAGTACCAACGATAAGATCTCACGACCTTAATTATAACTATACAATGATGACCATAATCAAATGTGCAGGATGAGTGGCATGTGATGACACATGACATATCTTGAAAAACTACTCTATATTTTGAGTAATTATTTACTAACACTAGTAATTTAGCTTCTTTACTCGATAAGGTTTGCGATACACTACCTTCTCGAGACCTCACTAATGAAATTTTATGGTGTCGTCGTTGCTGCTGATGTAACAATTTTGGAGGTGAAATTGCACTAACAATATAATGTAGGTAAGATGCAAACTTTATGAATTAAAGGATGACTTTTGTATTTTCATTCAATTTTGGGCACTTTATCTTTTTCTTGATTATTGCAGCCAACGACATGCATGTTGCCACGTGTCTCCACTAAGAAATGAAGATGCTTTTTTCTATGTTGTGGCTTTGTGGTGGTCCCTACTCCTCTAGGGGTTTCTGGAAAGGTCTGAAAATTATTGCAGGCCTGCCATGGCAAATGCTTGGCCTTTTTGGGTCTTTGAGTAGGTCTAAGAGAAAAGGCAAAGCAAACAAAAGAGTAATAAAAGGTGTAAAAATTACTCCACTTTGTAGAAAAGAAAAAAAAGGTAATTATTTATAGAATTTTGAAATGACAAGAGAATGGACAAAAGCCACTCTGGAATGAATACACATGTCATGTGAATTGAGGGGTCAGGGAAGATGACCCCCCAATATCATTTGGCCTCACATGGATAGACCAACAGCAATGGAAAACAAACGTTTTTTTTTTTTTAATAGTTTTTGACTCCATATCGATATCCTCATTTCACGTGATTAATTTGAATTTTTGTAAGGTTAGGCTCATTAAAAGTTTTATCCTTCCCACTATAATGGGCGGGGCGGATATGTGTGAGTCAAAAATGTATAACACAAAAACGGATAAATTATTCAACACGATCTATATTTAATACGGATAAAAATGGGGTAATCGGATGATATGGATATCCATAGTATTCATGGCTTCTTGAATATGATTACTTTTGGGAGAATTCTTAGTCTCTCAAACTTGAGGAACCCTCACTTTGAGGCTTTACAAATGTAAAAGTTAATTCATTAGTTATATATTGGTTATTCATTTTCTAAGTGGATAATATATTGGATAATGACCAATTTTTAAAAAGTTCATTATTCAACCTATTTTTTAATGGATAATTATTTTTTTAACCATTTTGCTACCATTAGATTTTGGATGACCAGTAGGCTGTAGTAGGGGTGTTCATAAAAACCCGAAAAATCGAACCAAACCGAAAACCAAACCAAACCGAAAAAAACCGATACTTTTTGGTTTGATTTGGTTTTGGTTTTGAATTTTAAAAACCGATCAAATTTGGTTTGGTTTGGTTTTATTAAAAAAAAAACAAAAAAAAAACGAACCAAACCGACTATAGGATTAGCTATTTCAAATTTATTATATATATATATATATACAAAGTTTCAGAAAATTTATGGTAAATGTTAATAGTTTGCACTTTAGTATAGTTCTTTACCTTTACATTCTAGTTTGATTGGTAGTTTTCTTTTGTTAAGTGTAAGAATCCATTTCGTGTTAAAAATAATATATTTTTAATTGAGTCCTTAAATTATTCATCACTATTTGTTTAAATTATGATCAATATATCTTGGTAAATAATAGATTTCTCAAAAGGCAATTGATTTGATAGTGTTACGTTGAAAATGTGGTCGCCGGAATATGTGTTTGGTAGTGTATGTCTTATATTTAAGAAAAAACCGACAAAAAACCGACTTAATTGGTTTGGTTTGGCTTTAATATTTGAAAAACCGACTTACTTGGTTTGATTTCTTTTTAGGGAAAAACCAATTCAAGCCGAACCATGAAACCCATATGCTGTACTACTGCATTACACCACACCATGCTATCTGGATCTAATTCACTTTAGGATAAATCCTGATTCATCGCTTCTTTCCTCTCACTTGCAATTTTGAGGATTATATCTTTTTCAAGCCAGATGGTAAACCACGAAGAGGATAATTTTTTCCCAGGAAGGGTACAATAAATTTCATGTAATTATTTTTATTAGCTAGAATAAGTTCAAAAACAAGAAAGAACCATACATACTATACCAACTGACTTGAGATAAGGGGAATGTAGTCTACGGTCTATGTAGTCTACCGTCTAACTTGAAGAAAGAGTTGATTTTCAATAAAAGGAGTATCTTATTTTAACTCGTAATGCCATACTTTCAATTTAATTTTTAAATATGCTACCATGTGACCAGGAGGTCATGAGTTCGAGCTGTGAAAACAACCTCTTGCAAAAATGCAAAGTAAAGTTGCGTACGATAGACCTCTGTGGTCCGGCCCTTCCCGGACCCTGCGCATAGTGCACCGGACTGCCCTTTTTAAATATGTACATATAGTTTTACACAATAACTGAAATTTTTATCTAATTTTATTTAAGACAACCTTTTATGATTACTAAACAAACTGTTCTACATTATATCAAATAGGACAAAAAAATCAAAAGATGTCTTGTTTGAGTCTTTCGCACTTAGTGTAGTCATCCATATAGACAGAATCTGCACATTGTCTCTGAAATGCCTTTTATTTGAAATTACTTTTACTAAAAATAAAAATGTCAAATATATAGTCTAGGAGACTGAACATGACACATTCATAATTTTAAAGTTCAAAAAGAAAGTACTCCCATAGAACCAATAAATCTTTTCCATGGTGAAGGAAGAAAATGGGTTTATAGGAACTGTCATCATACCAGTAACTAATTAAACCAGAGAAAATGAGCTTCATAACTCTGACTTTTACTGCTTCTGGGAAAAAAATTCTTAGGACGATATGCAATTATTTAATTTCAAGCTAACTTTACATGTGAACTGAGTTCACAAGAAACCCTGAAGGACCAAATGAAACAGTCCAGTGCCGTCAAGATTATATTGTATCAATAGATAAATCCAGCATACTTGAACTCAATTCTAACCACAGGTCTAGAGAAGTCAAAAGTATAAGCAGCCATTTATCACCAAACCTGTTGCTTACCAACTATGCCACAGGAACCAACCAGTTCTTTCCATTTCACCGTTTTAATCTGATTGGCTTCTTCAGAAAAGACGCTAAAACATATATACACACTAATACAGCTTCTGAGCATTTGAGGCAATGAAGAGGTCAACTTCTGTTACACTAATCAATTGTTGACCTAGTAATACCACAACCTTCATGAAACACATACAGATACCTTAGGTTTAACCTGTTCCTTGACCTCCCAAAGTTAAGATCACAGCACTACACTGGCAATAAGCATTCGTCGTTACTAATCATCATCATCTCCGCTCAGCACATACAGAATTCTCAGATACCTTAAGGGTTAACCTGGAAAAGGCCATTTCCAGTTAACTAATGAGAGGAGGCACTGATGTAGATTGGTAAGAGATGTGCTGGACACAGAATCCATCACGGGAAATAAATGTTTCATTTTAATTGGAGACAGCTCTAAAACATGGAAGAGCAAGAAGCACAGCTTGAAAGTGATTGATCAAGGATGGGAGAGATCAAGTTTTTTCGCTAAGTATAGGGTGATGCCCACTACCAGCTAGGTATACGCCTCAAACTTCTTCGGAAGATTGATGAAACACAAGACAGTGGCTACACAAATAAGCACACTTAATCTGAGAGACTGGACAAATATGCAATCTTGAGGGGTTGCTACATGAAGCAATTCTGGAAATTGAATAAAGTAATTTAGGGTTCAACAAAAGCACACTTTAAAGAATCTGTATTGAGGTCTTATCTATTGAACCAGATCTTGCAGCATAACTCAGGAGTACCACTTTCTATACATTAGAAATGGAAAAGACCAAACTGAAAAAAGGAGCACGAAATAAGGACATCTCTAGACAGCATAAAATAAATAATTCGGGATAGGATGCAACAAGAACTTAATTCTGAGGTAACTTCTTCAAAATCAAACAAAAGACATCACAGACAGATTTCTGTAGTAAATTCACAAAAAGATAGCCGCAAACGTCATTTGTATGCTAAACTAAGATTTGTTTCTACACAGTACTGTAGCAATATGTATTCAGAACGAAAAACATGATTAATTCAATTGAAATTCGAGCAAAGTATGTAGTAAATTTCAATTGCACATATCTATGACTATTTCTCCTTAAAAAATTAGTATCAAATTACATTTCCAACAATCCAATACCAAATTTTTAAGACTGATAAATCTCCCAAGTACCTCTAGCAGAAATATTGATCACCCCTTTTACTAACATGTAACAGTGTAAGAGAAATCAAAATAGGGTAAAACAGAGAGATTAAACATTATTCAGAAAAACAAAAAAGTCGTTACATAAGAAAAAATATATTCATCATACGCTATTGTTGATAATTCTTCGCCTTGCAAGAAACCTAGCGATCGGCGGAGTAAGACCTAGAGTTATCGGAACCCTAACAGGAAACAGAGCCTTATTAAGAAGCACAGCCACAGCAAGCGCGCCGCCACTTGACGCCGCCAGCTCAGCAGTACGATTCCTCTGCTTTGGAGGCGGCGGCGGCGCCACGCCGTCCTGATGAAAGGGTTCTTCAGTAACGAAACCGTCAACTGAGATCACTTGAGGGTTTTGCGAGGATATTTTAGGAATTTCATCACCTCCTGCGTCTTTTTTGGATAGACCAGGCATGCCGACTTTTTCGAGCATAGATTCAACGTCGACATTGTTTTTGACTGCAACATAAAGGCCACTAATTGAAGCAGCTGAAACCGAGAAGTGTACGCCCAATGCTACCTTTCCATATTTCTTCAATAGCTCTCTAAATCGCCCTCCCGCCATTGTAACTCTCGCTATAAGCTTAGATTTGACCTAAAAGATGAAGTTGACGAGTAGTATCAGGCGGCTAGAGATTTTTCTGATTTAGGGTTTTGGGGAGTTGAGCTCGTAAAAGGATGGTAGAGCTAATGGTTTAAACTTGGGAGACACGTTGGTCCTTTTAGTCCTTGTAATAATTAGTTAACTTTAAATTCTAAATCCTCTTATATTTTTACCTGCTAACTACACATGAAACAACTGCAAACATAAATTTAAAATTTTAGTCGATGTTTATACCAACTCAATAAATATGGTACATATTTTATATATACTTTATTTACTAAATTATACGTAATTAATTAATACATATTTATGTTTATTTATAACTTATTCATCGTATATTATTATGATTATATAAACCAGCTATATGTAAGTTTTTAACCCTACTATGAGTAATTTAATTGTCATGAGTTCAGCCATTAGTTCGTTTCTTCTTCTTATATTATGAAAAAAAAATATATGTTTCCCCTAGATGGGAAAGGGATTATAGTCCTTATAACCATTAATGTAAAAAATGGGGCAAATTGTAATGTATTGAGCTAATATTTATCTATTTATAAATTATAAATATTATAAAAGCATGAAATCTTTAAACAAAATGTAATTGACTTTTATGCACTTCGATAAGCAAAATTGAATTATATTTCATGTTGGATACAATTATAATTGCTATTAATATTTTAAACTTTGGATGGAGTAATATTCATTACTTTGAATCACTTTCACTTTACTGGAATTCCAAATTAACCAATACATTGATCAGCTATTAGACAAAGTTACCCGTTAGAATTCTCAAATTAATCAAAACGTTAATCAATTATTCGACAAAGTTATCTAATACTGTGCTGATAAGAGATAATTAATCTCTATATTGTTCACCTTCACCATCATTTGAAGTTGTTCCTTTGCACATTATACATTGGCTCAGTGATAAATTAGCTATTTTTCTACAACAGAAATCATTGAAATGCAAATTAAAAGATAAAGCATTTGTAAAGTGGAAGATGTGGAATCCTTCAAACAATCCTAGATATGGAAAGACATTCCACAAGAACGAATTCTCTGGACTGATTCTATTTCATTATCAGTTATCATGCAACATAATAGTTTTCAAGTGTTACAAGGGAACGTAAGACATCCCAAACTGAGCTCGTTCAAGTGATTGCTAGAATAAACAAGATACAAATGCCTCTAGTAACACGCGAAGAATAACACAAACCTGAGCTCGTTCAAGTGATTGCTAGAACAAACGAGATACAAATGCCTCTAGTAACACGCGAAGAATTAACACAAACCGAGCTTGTTCAAGTGATTGCTAGAACAAACGAGATACAAATGCCTCTAGTAACACGCAAAGAATAACACAAACCGAGCTCGTTCAAGTGATTGCTAGAACAAACGAGATACAAATGCCTCTAGTAACACGCGAAGGATAACACAAACACCACAAACAGACTCATTTTATTTTCCATTCCTAACCTAAGCAATCATCTCTCTGCCCTAGCAACCACAATAAATCGCCATAAGCTTGAATCTGATGTACAAAAATTCACTGTTCATATCTCGCCATAAGCTGGTACTATATTCTTCTAAGATGAATGGATAAACTGGGCCATGAAAGAAATACACAAGCATTAGATAAAGATAGAGAGAAAATATCCTTGTTAGCCATCCAATTCTTCATGCCTTCCCCAATCAGCAAAGCAGTATTCACTGAAATTGGAAGCGAAGGTTTACTAAACAAATGACAAGTACAATTAGCCTGTAAAAGAATCATTTTTTAAGAATCAAAGGGTTTTACAGAATTCTCCAAACAGAGAACTTGAGTTAAACCAACGACGTTGCCAATCATTTAGGTAAACAGATGCAAAAGATTTACTAGTAAACTGCCTCCTCAAATTTGGAGGGGACTACAACGACGATGAAGTTAATAGGCAACAACAGACAAGTAGCTAAAGTCCAAATACAACCTACTCATTCCTAATCACCTGTGTTAGTTAAGGAAATGTTACAGTATAGCAGTAATCCCTGCCTTTTGTCCTAGCAAAAATGACGCTTCCCAGCTTTCAGCCATGGTAACTATCAAGTCATATCCGAAACAAAAAACAAACCATCAAATGCCTTTGACATTCGAAAATGTTAAAAAGGCTGACCTTGCTGGATTGAACAATGATATATACCCAATGCTTCAAGATCTCTGCTACAATTGCTGGAGATGCTTGAACTCCTCACACTCCACTCCAATTTCATTCAGAGCCAAGAAAAGTTTTGGTACAATCTTAGCCATCATTAGCTTGAAACCAACTGAATTTGAATTAGCACTGTTACTGCAAATGGACGCATCTTTTCTAAGAGAGCCAATAAGGAATCCTTTCATGTATGCGTCACAGGCCTTGAGGATGTAATAACCACGCATCCTAAAGTGCTCTCTGATAAGCTCTTCAAAATCCTATTTCAGTCCAATATTTTCAAACAAATTATCATCAAATTGATCAGTTAACAAGAATGAATTGTTTTAACAGTAAACCATAGTGCCCAAGGTGATCAACACCAAACAAGTTTACAAACAAACAGTAGGAGCTATAAACAACAAATGCTCCCCATCCTTTTCTCCTAGTATTCATTTAAGAAAAAGTTGGTTTCATGACCTATTTTCCTCGGTGCAGATATAGATACGATTCTCACGCTAAAAATGTGAAATGTTGCAACAAACCCATGGAAAAACACAAAAATGAAATAAAAAAGAGATGTAAATGTTAGAAATATGGACTTACATTATCTAAAATACTTTATCTATGTTTTTAACTATTCCGAGTTTGATGGTACATAAGCAAGAGCCTAATTATAAGTGTCATTTATGGCTATAGGATCATGTATGTTGTGTGCTTGGTGGGTTTAGTGAGGCCGTGAGGGTAGGCTAAACCTGCTGAAGGGATATAGATAGAGATGAAGTTGCCCCATTGACGCTGACATCTTGAGGAAGGGATATAGAAGAGGAGAACTAACCCTACATCAATTTGAAAGGTGAAACAAGCATTTACGAAGGGAATTTTGAGTCAGAGGTCCACATTTTCATTTTTCTACCTGAGACATGGTACACTATATAGCAGTCCCAATCAAATGGATTAAATAACAAAGAAATGTCAAGCAGATAGCAAAACAAGCTGATCCAAGAGACACTAACTTCAACTGAGCTCATGAACAAGTACATGGCTAGTACGGTTGGTCCATCAGAAAATCCATAAAAAATGAGAGGACACTCCAAGCAGATGTACTCTGAAGAGTTATGGAATTACAGTTCTGTTATGGGGAAAAAGATATTGGTTTTGAAATTTCAAATAATGATGTTATAAGTTATAACTGGTTTCAAACACCTCAAAAACAAAGATGAAATCCAAAATGGAAAATTATCTGGGATGTCAACAGTAGATGTCGTAAGGGAAGGAGATTATCAGCTAGTCAACCATCTTGGCACATTAAACAAGGGAAAATGGCATGTCAAACTAGCACATATAAAATAGCATACCAAACATAAGAAGATATCAATTACCTTAGGGGGCCTCCTCATCAGATACATCATCGTCTTGCAGTTTAATAAGAAGGTATTCTCGTTGTAGGATAGCGAATTCTTTTCTCCTTCAGCTGTCCCAATCTGCTTGTCATAACCAGCTTCATTGAAATATGGCCTGGAATTCAAGACTAGCCCTTGAAGTGAAACTAGGACTTGGAGTATACTCGACGATGAAGGATCCCAGACCTCATTCCCTCTGCCTGTCCAAGTATTTAAAAGGCTGAGACAAACTTTCCCTTCCTCGTACAAGTTTGGATTTATCCGCCAGCCACCAGAATGATAATATGCTGACTGCAATACAACATAAACATTTGAAAAACAAACTACAGGAATAAAGTTTTGAGGCAAAAGGAGATTAGAGATGCAAACTATGACCCTATATTCAAGGAAGCAATGTTAAGCATGCTTACTGGTGGAACATCAGGGTACTCAGGTGGAAGGTGGAAATCAAAGAAGAATAAACCATCTTGGTAAGGGGTCCCATATGCTCCAACAATCACTGCCCTTAGAAGATCCATGTGATCTTCATAAACACGTACATATATTCCATCTGATGAAACAAGTCTGAATGTTAAAGCTGATTATTTGATAACCAATCCCAACTAGTTTGAGATTGAGGCGTAATTAATGTATGTGAAAGCTGCTGGTGTAGCATGAATGTGAAAATCACAATTTCAAAGAACAATTATAAAATATGGAGAGATAAATCATATGATAATATACCTACTTATTTAAAAAAATGATAAAATACCTGGCAGGTTATTCTGAAGTATGTTCCAATCTTGTTGAACTTTCTTAAGCCACAAATATACCTACTTATTAAAAAAAATGATAAAATACCTGGCAGGTTATTCTGAAGTATGTTCCAATCTTGTTGAACTTTCTTAAGCCACAAATATACCTACTTATTAAAAAAAATGATAAAATACCTGGCAGGTTATTCTGAAGTATGTTCCAATCTTGTTGAACTTTCTTAAGCCACTTCCTCCCCGCATTATTCTGCACATAAAGATCAACAAGGCTCAGTAGAAAACCTCTTTTAAATTTGAGATGGGATAGAACTACTCCTTGAGAGGGACTCGGAGTAAAGGATATTCACCAAGTCACTCATAACTAGCTCACCTTTAGTAATCATGATATGAATTAACCATGACATCATGCAACACCACACTGCCCTCTCCCACCCCCTGACCCAAATAGAAAAGGCGTGTTGTCTCTTTCTAAAACTAGTAGAGAAATGGAGAAAAAGTAGTGCAACACAAGCTATGAACCGTCTTGAAAATGGAAAAGAGTTATGGATTAAGGATTCTTTTAAAATTTAAGGGAATGAAGTACTTACAAGTACCAAACTATAGAATAAATTTTCTAAAAACATTAGCCAAGAAGTGGAACAATTTATCAGGAAGAACTCGGAGGCAAGACTAACCTGGCCACTTGCACCAAGAAAATGATGATCATAAGGATCTGTGGTGATATCAAAGCGTTTAAAACTATACATTTGGTTATCATGTTGATCTGAGGAATTTCCTATTCCTGGCTTCAAGTT